CAGGAATCATTTGCAGTAAACACTATTTTCATCACACCATATCTGTTTGCGGTTCCCCACAGTCTCTCACATCAAATCCAAGTTGCCTGTGTGTCTGTCAAGGCCACTCTCTATTCCCTCCCTCATCTATCATCTCCCACCGCACAGCCTTTTCCAGCCAGGCTAAACAATTTGCTTATCTCCTTCTCTCCTGTTTGCACAAGCACTCCCCTCTCAGCCTAATTTATCTCTTTACCATTTCAAGACTTTCATTTCCGCTTCCTCTAATTAACCTCATCCAACCCATCCACCCAGCACTACTGCTGCCCTTACACACACGTTTCACATGCATTTTGCTCATCTGTACTCATTTACTTCTGTGGTATAAGTGTTCCCAAGTCTTTTCCATGTGTCAACATTATGGTTTATGGCATGATATCTGCCTTCTCAGAGATATGGTTCTTATAAATTGGACCTATAGAAATAGAATCTCCATTTTAACAAGCTTGAAGAGGCAAACACATTGTTATAAGGCAGGTAAACCTTGCCAGTCTATTGCTACAGTGTGCAGAAGGAATATCTCTTATTACTATTTTAAAATGTTATTGAAATAAAACAAATTTTGTAGCTCAATCCATGCTAAATGCTCTGCAGACATTAACAATCTAACTGAGCAGGTAAGAAGTAGGCATTTGAAAGGACTTGAGAAAAGCCAGTCTATTATGTGAAGAAACTAACAAAAGTTGTTTATGGAGTAGATAATTTGGCAGCGATTAAAATAAGAGGAGAAGTTTCAAGGAAAACAGGGTAAACCATAAGCTCAACTTAGGTGGGCAATTAGGAAAGCAAGCCATGCCCTCTCGCAGGTCACGTCAGTGCGCCAAAGGCCAAGCAGCACAATTAACTTACACCTGCCACACCCACTCCCAAGTCACTAATATTGTGATTTCTCAAATGTTCTTAAAATGGTATGTGTTGCTCATATATACAAAGTATTCCTCCTCTAAAGTCAGCTTCTTTGCTAATGTGACAGGGACTTGAGAACACACAATCGTTCAGCATGAGCAGTGCACATTAGCAAAGTGGTCATACTGAGGACCGCTCTGAGTGTGAGGGTGTGTGTGTTGTGTGTGTGTGTCCTGCATATAAAATATACAGAATTTGACACATCACTTACATGTGGGGGGGGTCATTAAAAGGGGAGTTTGTATGTAAAAAAATAATACTAACAATAACATTGTCTGTAAATGGATCAATCTACACTGATACTTTTCGGTCATTTCAGAGAAGCCCTTTTCTGCATCCAGTATAACGTACGAGCCTTCATGAACGTCAAGCACTGGCCCTGGATGAAACTATTCTTCAAGATCAAGCCCCTCCTCAAGAGCGCAGAGACCGAGAAGGAGATGGCCACCATGAAGGAAGATTTCCAGAAAACCAAAGAAGAACTCGCCAAGTCAGAGGCAAAGAGGAAGGAACTGGAGGAGAAATTGGTGACTCTCTTGAAAGAGAAAAATGAGCTGCAGCTCCAGGTTCAATCTGTGAGTACTCTGTGTGCCGAATGCACCATGTCACGGAAGCTTTTCTGGAATTCGCATACACTCTGGATTTACAAACGGCCTTTTCTTGAAAAAGAAAATTTCTAGTTGCTTTTTTCAGTATTTCACTTAACTTTCAATATTCCTGTGAAGAAGTAAGGCACCAACTACTTCCAAGTTGCAAATGGAAAATGGGAGATTGAAGAATTCATTTAACAACACCACAAACTTAACAGGCATGAAGGAAGCAGTTGAAAGGCAAGCCCCCAAATCTCAGTCATTTTGCTCATCTGCCTTGCCTGCTTCATCCCAGTCTTAAGAGCCCTATTTCCTGAATACAAGTGTATGAGATTGTATTTAAACTCATAAAAGACAGTTATTCTTATTTCTCTCTGTATCTCTTTTCCTCAACCCCAGGATTTAGCTCAATAAATTCATTTGCAGTTATTTGAACTGGACCACCACGGTGGAAGACAGAGCTAGTGACCCCTGTGATTCTTCCTTTGATACTGATCCTGAGTTCTCAAGGCCTCTGTTTATTGGTTAAAAAGAAGTTGTAATCAGAGTGAGGGTAGGCTTGGCATCAGCACTCTGGCCAAATACAACCTCCCATTTCCTTGGTCCAACAAGCCCAACAATGTCATGAAGAAATCTGTAAAAAAAAAAGGATAGTTTTCTTAAAATGTTTAAGCTATTTTCAACTTTTCCTTCTGATAAGTTCACTTATATGAAGGTTACATTTTCCCAATCACAGCCGCTTCATCTTAACCTCTTTTCATAGGTATTATCATTCGTCAGTGAGTAAATATATACTGAGTGTATGACTATTAAAAATAAAAGCAACGGAACCCTGGAAGTCCTTATTATCAAACATTTAAGCATTTAAAAAACTTAAGATATAAACAAACACTGAGAAGTTAAAGAAATTCCCCAGCCCAGAGTAATAAGGTCGTGGCTGAACTGATTTTTATGAGTCCTTTAATCATTTATAAAAACCTCACTGAGTAATGTAGTTTCTCAAAATTACAAGTTCCTACATAGTCTAACATTCATTTTGAGACTAATAGGTAATTCTTAAAATGGAAACGGAAGCCTTGGGCAATTATACAGCACTGTTATGGTCTATCAGGGAGGTTTTGAGTATATGAAAAATGCTTCATGGAAATGTATTTATAGGCATAATGTTACGTAGTTTTTCTTTTTAAAATTCAATGTAGCAACTAGTTGTTTGAGGCAAGTAGGGAATGATCAAACCCCAAACTAACCGATTTGACTAAGTCAAAAATCTTTGAATAATATAGTTGAAATGCTCTTAGCAATCATTTATTCCAATCCTCTTTAATTACATGAGATAACTGAGGGTAAGAGGAGTGAATCAATTTGCACGAGGTCATACATGTGGAGGCAAATTTGGGACAAGAACCCAGGCTTCCTTTGGTCCTTCCACTCTTCCACACAATACTTTTTAAAATAGTCAATTGCTTCAATCCAGTCATTTTTCAGGCTAATTTGCCTCTAAACCTATAGTGCCATATCTAATTAGCTACGTTTCTCCAGACAATGGAATGATGTTCAATTAATTTATATTCATACTGAAAACTTCATTAGCATTCAGTAAACACGACTACTTTGTGCAAAGAACAAGTTCAAAATAAGTAACAAATTCTCTGAACAGCTCAGCAAATCTCTCCACAGGAAGCTGAAGCCTTGGCTGATGCAGAGGAAAGGTGTGAGCAGCTGATCAAAACCAAAATCCAGCTGGAGGCAAAGATCAAGGAGGCGACTGAGAGAGCTGAGGATGAGGAAGAGATCAATGCTGAGCTGACGGCCAAGAAGAGGAAACTGGAGGACGAATGTTCGGAACTGAAGAAAGACATAGATGACCTTGAGCTGACACTGGCCAAGGTTGAGAAGGAGAAACATGCCACAGAGAACAAGGTATGAAATATATTTGTATACAGCGTATAGAGACTCTGCCATCAACTAAGCTGCTTTAGAGCAGAGATAATCTCTTCCTTAACCTTCCTAGGTGAAAAACCTCACAGAAGAGATGGCAGGCCTGGACGAAGTCATAGCTAAGCTGACCAAGGAGAAGGCGGCCCTCCAGGAGGCCCACCAGCAGACCCTGGATGACCTACAGGCAGAAGAGGACAAAGTGAACACCCTGACCAAAGCTAAAGCCAAGCTAGAGCAGCAAGTGGATGATGTGTGTTTTTAATATCCATCCGAAAGGCTTTTTTAATATACTTTAAATTTTTAACAAAGTTTATTTTCTCATTAGCTTGAAGGGTCTCTAGAACAAGAAAAGAAACTTCGAATGGATCTAGAAAGAGCCAAGAGGAAACTGGAGGGTGACCTAAAATTGGCCCAAGAATCTATAGTAGATATAGAGAATGACAAACAGCAACTTGATGAGAAACTTAAAAAGTAGGAACTCCAGAAAAAAAATTCTATGCGACATCATCTTTCAATTCTTATGGGTACTAATATGCCTTGTTCTTCTGTCTAAAGGAAAGAGTTTGAAATCAGCAATTTGCAAAGCAAGATTGAAGATGAACAAGCACTTGGCATTCAACTGCAGAAGAAGATCAAAGAGCTGCAAGTAAGTTCATATTTCCATCAGTCTGGCTCAAAGAGGCACAGTTATGACATAAAAAGGCTAAAACTGAGCTTTTCCCCACGGCCAGGCCCGCACCGAGGAGCTGGAGGAGGAGGTCGAGGCAGAGCGGGCCTCCCGCGCCAAAGCGGAGAAGCAGCGCGCGGACCTCTCCCGGGAGCTGGAAGAGATCAGCGAGCGGCTGGAGGAGGCCGGCGGGGCCACTTCGGCCCAGATTGAGATGAACAAGAAGCGGGAGGCCGAGTTCCAGAAAATGCGCCGGGACCTGGAGGAGGCCACCCTGCAGCACGAGGCCACGGCGGCCACGCTGAGGAAGAAACACGCGGACAGTGTGGCCGAGCTGGGGGAGCAGATCGACAACCTGCAGAGGGTCAAGCAGAAGCTGGAGCAGGAGAAGAGCGAGCTGAAGATGGAGATCGACGACCTCGCCAGCAACGCGGAGGCCGTGTCCAAGTCCAAGGTGCCCAATACTGTCTTCACATGAGCATAGTTAATAACCTGTAAGAACTCTCATTGCTCTCTGGCGTTAAACACTGTTTATAGGCAGTTTATAGCACTGATCTAAAATGTTGTATTCTAATATATTCCATTTTATTTCATTTTCTTTGAATGCTGGATATAATTTGTTAAGATTATTTCAAAATCTACTTTGTCAGTGTCAAGTATCATTGGGATAAATGAATGAGTTCCAACAATGAGCACTTTTGGGAGATTATACACCCGTCATACCCGAATCCTACCATGTTCCATAGAGTTGGGGCCATCAGTTTCTACTCACACTTGACATAAATTTATTCACTCTAAAAATATTTTAAGAATCCAGTGGTGACTTTTTTTTTTTTTTTTTTGTGCTGCCCGTTAAGGCAGTTCTGCTCTCTAGTCCCAATCGTTGGAATTTATAGACACCAGATCCCTTGATTATTAGTAAATGCTGGGACCCGTGCCTTGCTGACTCACCACTGCAAATGACAAAATACTATGGTACCAGTTGGAAGATTTGGTACTGCAGCTAGGAGAAGAGGGGGTTCCAGGAGCAGAGGGGGGTTTACACCCCCAACCGCAATGCTCTTTTATTTCTCTGGCATTCTCTTCCTGTGCTAGGTTAACTCTTACACAGCCCATTTCATCAGCTTTGTAAAATAAACAGTAAAGTTATTAAATTCTACAACTGTTATTAAGAGCTGACATTTATTATTCACTTACTCTGTGTAAGATTCTGTGCTAAGTTCAGCATATACATTAGCACATTTAATCTTCAAAGCATCCTTCTGAGATGAGGACTCCTCTTATCCTTATTTGGCAGATGGAGAAGTGCATGTCTCCAGAACTTAGGAAAAGGGACCCAGGTCCCTGAGGTAGTAAGTAGCAGAGCTGCCAGGGACCCAAGTTCTCATCTGGCTGATGCCAGGAATCGATTAACCATGTACTATACTGCCTTCAAGAGGCTGTACTGGGAGGCCATATAAGAGTGTAAATCATATGTAAAAGACAAATTTTACACAAAAACGCTACTCACTTCGGTTATTATCTATTTCAAGTTTCTCTAGTTATTTCTAACTGTTAGTCCTAATTCACCTTTACTGTTAAGGGCATTATAGTGTACTAATTCAGAGCAAAGACTCTACTGCCAGATTATTTGGCTTTACTTAATAGCTGTGTGACTTTGAGCAATGTTCTTAACCTCTCTGTACCTTAATTTTCCATCTGTAACGGCATAATAGTAATATTTGTTACATAAGGTTGGTGTGAGAAAATTTAATGAGCTCTTAAATGTAAAAAACATAGACCGGAATCTGGCAGAGTAAACACTATGGAATTGTTAGCTATTGTTATTTTTTCCCCAACGTTCCAAGGTGGGACTGTATAACTTTAATATTTTATAACTTTATATTTCTAAGCATTTTGACTTTTAAGAGGAAATCATTTTTTCCTTGTCCAGAGCCAAAATGTTGTGTTAAGCCTCTCTCCTCAAAACTATCCCCACTACTCCATCTTTTCTGTTAATAAATTCCTTTTCAGTCTTTCAAAATCCAACTCAACTGTCATCTTCTGTAAAGCCTTCCAGACTTTTCTGCTACCCCTAAAACTCCACACAGAATGCATTCCACCCTCTACCAGTCACACAGCTCTTTGAACACTCACTATTCCTGTACTTGTCATGATGTACTTCTCATCAATGTTGGTTTGTAATCTGCCTCTGCCAATGGAATACAGGCTCCAAGAGCCAGATCCTGTGTAATGTGTGCCTCCAAGTCTTTAAGGCTGAACACAGTAAAGAGCACGGAGTAGATTCACAATTAAATTCACGAAGTTTCATCTAAAAATATGGCCTAAATTAGACTCATCTTTGGGCAAAGGGTTCTCAGTGTCTGCTCTGTGAGGCTACTATAGCTCTAATACTTTTTGCCCCCAGATTATCTCTCTTTGATTAATCTCAGCTTCTATTTCATATTCAACTCTAACACATATTTATTGAGTTCCTAATCTAGAGGGCTAACAGGGAAGCCTAAGTATTCACATCCTGGAATGAAAGGATGGTCTCCTAACCTGTGGGCATAATGACCTCTCTGATAAAGTATGTAGTATCAGAAGCAAAAGGCCTAGAAGTGATCAAGGAGGAAAGGGGATGCTGACTTTTTTTCCCCACCCAAGTGTATAAAATACAAAGTGACACATACTTTGCATCCAATGGTGATGTGCCAGACTGGAGGGGTGCAAGTGTGTAACAGATCAAGTTGATGCATTAAGCAGCCTACTATCCAATGAGAAAGGCTTATATATATATATATATAAAACACCCAGTTTTCTTCATTATTAACAATATGTCAGATCTTGGACATTTGTCTCTCTCCTGAACTGCCATATTCCCAGTGTTGAAAAGTGAAAGCATCATAAGGATTTAGAATCAGACAGACCTTGTGTCTTAGTTTAGGTTAGTTCTGAAGTAGACTCTGAGACAAGTAGTTTATTTGCAAGGGGATCCCAGGAAACCCTGGTTGGCGGGGGGCACAGTTTTGGATAGTAAAGGTATCCAATGAAGGGTATGCTATCAAGTAAGTTATCACTATGGGAAACAAGTTTGATCCCACTAGGGAAACCTGGGAGTCAGTGTTATTCCCCACAAGAGTGAGAGAGCTAGGGTATTTGTATACCAATTCCCGTTCGTTGTTGGTCGAAAGCTGATCCAGAGGGGAGTTATTTCCCAGGCAATTCTGGCCTGAGTCAAGAGCTGGTAAAGCAGGGAACAGAGGGAGGAGAAATCATCAGGAAAAGAAATGCAGTTGTGGGTTGGAAGTTGGATGTCAACGATAGGATTAAGAGGATATCAACAAGGCCCCAACAGCCTTTACTACAACTAAGTTTGAATCCTGGTTCTGCCACTTATGACTTTGGACAAGTTAGTTAATACCTCTGTGTCCCGAGTGCTCGCTTGTAAAATGGGGATAAGAACATCTGCTTTACAGCAGTGTTTGTTAGGATTAAATGGGATCCTGGGTGTAAATTACCAGGCATATAGTGAAGCCTCAGAATTCATATGGTCTTATTAAATCAGTGTTTGATGTGTGAGTATTTCATTAATTGCCTGAGTAGTTCATTCACTTATCAATTACCTGCTTTTCCAGGAGGATTATTACCGAGCAGCATAAATATCTCAATAGTTTTAGGCGTTAGGCTTTGGGTGTCAAGTTCTGGAGCCCTGGAACATTGTGATGTTTAGTTTGGAGTGATGGATGGTGTGGCACCATCCCCCGTACTTGAGGGGCACGTGGCGGGCATCACCTGGGAAGTTTGGGATCTGATTTCAGTTGTAGGCTTGTATAGAAATATGTTTTCCCAAATTTTCAGGCTAACATCGCTTATTGGTCATTTTTTCCCCGCTGATTGCTATGCCCACATTGTTAAGATTTTGCCACCTCAAGGGGTATCTCAATTTAAAGGAAGAATTACTTGAGCTTTCCTCACTTCCTGGGCAAAAAGAATGCCAAGAAAGAGCAATTTACCTGTAATCCCCACAGAGAAAAACTTTTCTATAGCCAAGTTACAATTACAAACATAATTACAAGAATTTAGTAACATAATCTCAAATGGCTTATTGAAGATTGGAGGGTCAATGATGACCTTGAAATGCTAAATTTTGGGAACTCTATGTTGACTTTTGTGACTACTAATCTAATTTACTATAACTTTATAAACATGAACACTAAATATTGAAAACATTAAGAAAAATGAGCCACATGACAAATTGTCTTTGCTAGTCATTCCAATTAGCAAGGTCCTGTAAGTAATTAGTCTAGGCTGAACAGAAATCAGGCAACAGGGGAGTGAAAAATTTAATCAAACTTGAAATTCTGACCTATTAAACTAGAACAGGTTTAAAACCTCTGATTGTGCTACTTTTCACTTTGGAGCCTATTTACTTGAATAGACCTGCTAAATTTTGCAGTGAATAGATTAACTTTAAACGGCAGAGTTTTCCATTCCATGCAATTGGTTTCGGTGCCCATTCTGTATCATAGAGTCTGTCCCATAGATGCAGACTGCAAAATTTTGACATATTTTGGAGCTTTAAATGAAACAACTCACTCCCAGCAATTCCTGTAGCCTGTGATTAGTCACCCCTGGTCACTTTTAATTTCTTCCTTCTAAGTTTTCTTTTTAAATTTGTTTTCCTCTCCTTTACGAAGGAATTTCACTGTTGCTGGACTATATAACCTCTCAGTAATTCTGTTTGTAGAAATAGAGATATTTCTGAAAAATGAAACAATAGAAATTGAGTTATAAACATGGTAAATGAATGAGAAATCCTTGTTAATCTTAGTGCTATTTATTTAGTTATGTTTCATTTAAAAAATTTTTATAATTTTCATGGGATTTTCAAACCTATATAAAATTAGAGAGCATAGTATAGTGAATTCTCTTTTACCCAACACCACATTTCAACAAGATGTATTTTAAATGTGAAAAGAGCCTCTGTAAATTTTCATCTCCATCTCCCAAAAGTAAAAGCCTGCAATTACATTTTTCAACCCTATAAAAATGTCTTAATTCTTAGAGATATTACATTTTCAATTTGTTAATTGTCTATGGATGTGTTAGAATCTTGTTTATTATTTTTTTCCTGGGTCAAATACCATCTGTGTCTCTGCTCCTACGGCTTTTTCTTTTTTTTTTTTTTGTGTGTGTGTGTGGTACGCGGACCTCTCACTGCTGTAGCCTCTCCCGTTGCGGAGCACAGGTTCCGGACGCGCAGGCTCAGCGGCCATGGCTCACGGGCGCAGCCGCTCTGCGGCGTGTGGGATCCTCCCGGACCGGGGCACGGACCCGTGTCCCCTGCATCAGCAGGCGGACTCTCAACCACTGCGCCACCAGGGAGCCCCGAAATATATTATTTTTAAAGAAACGTCATATAAAAGAACAAACAGAAGCCCAGAGATAAGCTATGATACGAGAGAAATTAAA